GTGTGTGTGTGTGTGTGTGTGTGTGTGTGTGTGTGTGTGTGTGTGTGTGTGTGGGGTAGGGGTCCGATCCCTTTGGAGACAGACTGGGAGGGAGGGGAAGTTGAGGGAGTGGCCTGTTGGTATTACGTGAGTGTGTGTGTTTGTGGTGGTGTAAATGGGTGTGTGTGATGTGGCTGAGGGAGCAGAGCAGCAGAATAGCGGACGTCCCGTCTCCAGAAAGGTTACTTCTGACAGAGAGGAAGAAGGAAAAGGAGGTAAATGTCACTCTGATTTTTATTTTCAGCTGAGGTTTCTCACATCAAACGCTCATCTGACTTTTTTTTAACTTTCTTTTCACTTCACTTTGAAAGAGTAACTGAAAGGTTTTCTTAATTAGTCTGTGTCTGTTTTCATCTGSTTGGATTATGAGGAGTACCTGCTTCTGTGTTGACATTTCAGGTTTGTGCACATAAAGGTTTATTGCTGTGAGATCACTTTTTGTTTTTTGTTTTTAAAAAGCAGATCAACTAATCGACAGGTAGTTTCTGAAACATAAGATGAACTTCACTGTGAAGTCTTTTATTATTTTAAAGATTTGCATGCTGCTCAGGTGAGTTCAGGTAGGCAGATATATTGTTTGTAGATTCACCTCCTTATAAAAGAAGATTTTTGAGGAAAGAAGAGCTTATGTTAAATCTGTTGAACCAGGTCTGATCGTACACAGCACGGATGGTTCAACAAGAGTCGATAAAGGCTGCTGTAGGGGGTAAAGAAAATAAAATAAGTTCAGATTAGTAGTACAGCAATGAGTCTGAGCTGAAGATTTATGATGGTCTCGGTCCAGACTGAAGATGATTGCTACTATTTTGCTATTTTGCTGCTATTGAAGCAGAGCCAACTGTGCGGTTCTTCAAACTGCAGTAATGGAAAGTGAGCTGCCAGGTTTCTACTTCCTCCACGTGCAAGCGTTGAAGACCCTCAGTGTGGCGGCTTTATATTTAATGGAAAAACTGGAGTAATAATTTGCAGTTGCCTGCAGTGGTTGCTGAAGGAGGTGTGTGCTTCTTTGTATATTTTCCGTGGACCCACGCCTTCCTGTGGTCACCAGAACAGATTGTTGTGTTTGTGTTGGTTTCTTTTTAATTTTGTGCTCATATTTTTGACATAAACAGACTCCTGTGGCCAGATGGGTCGTGAGGTTTGTTGTGTGCTGGAGTGGGATGGTGTCGGTGTCAGGTCCTGGCTGTCTGGGCCAGAGAAAAGCCACTAATGACAGCATGGAGGCTGGCACCGGTCCCCAGCTTTTACTCTCCAACTCCACTTCAGCTCTATCTTTTCCTTTTCTTCTTTGATTCAGTGCGAGTTTTGAAACGATGGCTGTCTAGAAGCAGGAGAGGGTGAGGGGCAGCAGACTCGTTCTCAGGGGGACAGTGTCCTTTGTGTCATTTTGCATCACTTCACTTTAATGTATTCTCTTTATTGTTTGTTCTTCAGACTCATCAGCCACTTTAACGACTCATTAAGGGAGGGTTCCACTAAATTACAGCTTCCCACTGTGGTGTGCCTGGCTTTACAAGTCACACAATGCTAAGAAGACATTTTTATGGAAAAAGAGGATGCTGGGAAATGAATTGACATACATACAAGACTTGCTTCACAAACTAACCATTCCTGTTGGTTTTGCCTTGAAAACTAGTCGTATTTACAAAATAAAACCTCGTAGGCTAAAATCAGAGCTGCTCTTTTCCCGGTTTCTTCTCTCTGGTTTGTGTTTCTTTCTCCTGATTTAGTTTTCTTTTGTGTCTGAGCCGCCCTGCCCTGTAATCCTCTCAAGGTGAGGAAGGTCATATTCACCAGAGCAAAACTTTAACTTTTAAACTACAGTAACATGTAAACTTTGAGTCCGCTTCAATCGCTAATTGCGTTGATGAAAAATATTCTAAAATTTTCAAACCGTTTATGATTTCTGATGACATGCCCTCTGTTCGGATGATCCAATCTCCATGTTGGAAGACCAGCTCAAGAGCATAAACTTAAAAGACAGAAAGGAGATGTGTTGTAGAGTGAGTGATGTCAATTCAACCAAAACAGTCAACTTTGTTTCAGTTTCTCAGCTGCTTAAACAGGTCTGACAGCAACAGGTCATATCTGTGAAACTTTGTGATTGTGACAAACAAAGGAGAGTAAACTTRGAATTGTACCAGCGTTGTTTTACAAAACAATATATAACTTTGTAAGCATCTTTTCTAGGATTAAACTTATAAACCGATTCTCTTTATGTGTTTGATGTGTTCATTTTTTTACTCGCACATGAGCTGGTTCTGTTTTTGTTCCAAAATTCACTTAGACCTTTTTAAAGTTTCTATCTTTTGAGGCTTGATGCGGTTCTTTGTTAAGATGATGCATAACACATGAACCTCCACACAGGAGCTTTTTCTTTTAAAAGTTTACAAGTCTCCAGCGCATCGGGGATTAATAAAATGAGCAGATGTGATTTTTAAAGGGTTTGTTTGGATGTGTGCGTGCACACACACGCAGACACACACACAATCAGAGGAGCCTTATTTWTGCAGCTGATTCTCCTGTGGAGAAGCTCAAGGTCAAAGAGGCCCAACGGTAGTGTCGGTATCTCCATCTCTCCTCCTCCACGCTTCACCCGTTTCTTTCCCATAAGCCAAAATACTCCAGCCTCTCCTGAATGCGCTGCCTTTTCTGCAGCTGCCTCTCGTTGCTAACTGGTGGCAGAAAAGCTGCAGCACTTATTGCAGCCGTGCTGCGTGACGTCCTGATTGTATGTGTTGACTCTTTTTGACCTCTTCTCTCAGACGGCTGTACTTTTCCAGCTGGTGTTGCTCATTATGTCTGGAGCTTTTGACCTCGACCTCCAACAACACACACACAAAAAAAGTGCAGACCTGAAACACTTGAGCTTGTAATTGATTTGGGTTGGCGGTGTGACAGTGGTGGACACGTTTTGTGACTTAGTGAGGGGAGGAATAAATGTTAAGTGTTTAGTGCTTTCACAGCTGAACAGGAGAACAGTAAGTTTTGTTCTGTTTCCCACAGGAGACTGAGAGGGAGAGTCGCAGTGAGCTGGAGTGCATCAGATCTCTGAACCAACAGACTCAACACAGCAGAGAGCTTCAGAGGAAAGGTAAAAAACTACAAACAAAAAGGAAAACAGACACCAATGATGTCTAAAGTTTATTTTTTTTGTGGAATGATTTTGTTGTGTTTATACTTTTCTCCAAATTATTCTTTATTATTTTTTTGTTTTTTCCTTATGTCTTGCCAATTAGTGTCCTGTTTTTTATTAAAAGAAACATTTGGCATTGCACTAAATGTAACAACCCTGAAATTAGAGATGTATTTAAGTGTTCAAAAAAGCTGCATTTCCTTTACATTTTTTAAACTGGACCAACCGGAACTCACTGACATCATGTTTACACGTCACACATTCTGAACCACTGAAATAGAAAAACGTGCATATACTGTAAACATTCAGCTAAAGGTCAAGTTTAAATTAGCTCTAACATCACAGCTCACACAGATCACCTCTGTTCTCATGTGCTGCAGAGTCATTTTCCGCTTCAGCACYGGCAGAAATGCCGAGCCAAAGGAGTCGTTCTCCTGAGGTGGTGGTCAGGAGGTCATTAGTTTAGACACTTCATCTAAAGTTATTAAGTGTTTGGAATCACTCAAGTTTAAGTGTCAACTCATATCATTAGGGAGTCTGTTGGTTTAGACATCAATAATGTAACATAAATGCATGAATTGAAGGGAGAATGAATGTGCTTTGTTCACTTGAGGTCTTGGAAATGAGCATTTATGCTTACGGAGCTAATAAGTAGCTCATAAAACAACAAAAATCTTGTGTTAACAAGCAATAAATTTAAGTAAAAACCTAATTATTGTTTGTCCCGTTTTGAGATATTTAAGCACAGGATTATAAACCACAAAATGCAACATTGCGGTAACGCTTTTAATCATTCTTTTAAGCTCCTGCTTGGGAAACGGTCAAAATAAATGTCTGTCTGTGTGGTCTGGGCTTGGCTCAGTTGTCCTTCACATTGACTCGATGGTGTGGGGGCTTACGGGTCAGAACAAAAAGAAACCCAAAAACCACACCTCAGCTAAATAAAGCAGATACCAGAACAGAACGTAGGCTTGCTTTTGACGTGGCAGAGAAACTCCCCACTGTTTTTGATTTGTTCCTGCCTTACAATTAAAGCCAGACCAAAACTAGGATCAGCCAAATGGACCACTGTGGGAAAACAAAGGTGTATACTTTAAGGGGATAGGTCAACAAAATGTATGTATATATAATATGTGTGGCAAAAGCCCATACAGTCCCAGCACAAACAGGAGCAAGAAGGTCTATGATTTAGGAAATGAAATGTTTTCAAAGGCTCTCGGTGGAATTTACCTTATGTTTTTGTTTCCAAAAGAGTTCCTAAAAGAACAGTAACACTCTTAATACAATTTCTCACAGTAAACCAGCGACTGGGCTGAAAACAGGCACATCTGTTGAACTACCAGGAGTTAAAGGCCATACAGGAGTCTTTAATCTTCTCCATGTGAGYGTCCATGAAGCCACACTAATAACASCAGTGTGCCTTCAAAACACAGTTTGCTCAATTGTGTTATTTCCTAACAATACAAGTAGGTGTTAGGGTGGAGGTTAGTGTGGTTTATCCACAGCTTTAGTGAAAATGTTTCAATGACTGGCCATGAAAGGTTGTTCCAACAGAACCCAGAGGAAGAAAACTGCTGCACAGTAGAGTTTATTACCATTTGCACAGATACATTATAGTATTAGCACATTAGAATTATTTTGCGTTTCTCCAACATTTAAAAAAGGTGAAAAGAATTGTGTAATGTAGGAAAAAAATACATATTTTTTTGGGGTGGGTGGGGT